TTACAGTTGCAGCCACATCCAGCTTTCCCCCACAAAGGTAGTTTTGCAATTCCACGCTAATCAGGACATTTTTCTTTGAGTGTTCTTCCCTAAGCCACATGCTAGTAACTGGGAACGGATGCTCCACTCCCCGGATGTCAGATGAGCGTTTCCTTTTTACATGGACAGGATGAAGCCATTTTGAAAGTCGACACAGCTCTTCGTTGCAATTGCTGAGCGGATGAGGGGGCTTCCAGTGTTGTCCCAAAGGATCTTGTTATGGATCACGGCTTGTATCAGAGCATGCTACAAGCAAAGATACCTGTCCCAGCATTGACAGCGCACTCCACAAGGGTGCAGGCTTCCTTGGCAGCATTCCTGGTGCAGGTCCCCATTCAGGACATCTGCAGGGCAGCGAGGTGGTCATCAATACACACCTTTATGTCAAACTACGCCGTTACTCAGCAGGCTAGAGACGATGCAGTATTTGGCAGAGTGGTGCTGCAGTCTGCAACTTGGTGAATTCTGACCCCTCCTCCTGGGAACTGCTTGGGAGTCACCTACTTGGAATGGACATGAGCAAGGACTCGAAGAAAAATACCAAAACGTAACTGTTGTTCTTTGAGATGTGCTGCTCCTGTCCATTCCAAGACCTGCCCGCCTATCCCTCTGTTGGAGTACTCCAGCAAGAGGGAACTGAGGAGGTGGCAGTTCGGCAGGGACCTATATACACTGCTGTGAAGGTGTGACTCCAGGGGCCTCCACAGCTGACCCAACCGGTACCGCTAGGGGACAAACCTTCTGATGACTGCAAGCGATGTGCACACACCTACTTGGAATGGACATAAGCAACACATCTCGAAGAACAACAGTTACGAAACGTAGGTCATCGTTTTTTCCATCACATTGACTCAGCCAGAAAAATTCCATGGGACAACCTGATTTAAAAAGAATCCAGAGGCCTAGCTGGAATTCAAATCTAAAGTGGCAAAACAGGGAACTAAACCTGTTCCTGAAGCTCTTCTAATAAGAAGTGAAAGGTGGGATGTGGGAATGCAAAAGGAAGGGAAACAACAATTTTGTAAACTCCTGGAATTCTTTTTATGTGTTGCTGAAAGGTGGAGACAATGGATATTTAAAGAACGTACTGTCCCTCTAGCAGTTCTCGTCTCTGGCAGATGGTTAATAAAGATGATTTTCAAAACCATAAAGGTTATGATGAAATTAAAACTGGAGGAAAGAAAATTAGACACGTTTTTTAAAAAAAAATCCCTGTAACAGTTGTTTGCTAGTTTGACGTGTATTTTAAATTCAGATGTTAACTTGTGCATTTCAGCCTGTCAGTCATACAGCCTTGTAGAGTAGCAGCCACATACATGTTCAGTGCTGCAAAATGATAGTGGAGGAGAAAGAAATCAGATTCAGAGATGAAAGCCTCAATCTTTATATTTGTGGCATTCAGGCATTGACTGAAAAGTGACATTAAGTCACAACGAACCCACCCACCCCCAGCTTGTGTTAGCAGTTGAGATCTCATCAGTGAATAATGATGGAGTCCATAATTTAGCATTTCTTTAAATAGTTCTGCAATTTATCTGGCACAGCAGAGGGAGAGACTGCAAAGCACCATTTCTGCCTTCACCTCTGTTTCCCAGGAAACCTGCTTTAACAGCTTCTTTGTTCTTCAGAACAAAGCTTTTGTCGTTATTTAGGTGGGTTTAGAGGAATATGTATCAGCTGATTTGGCACTGAAAGAAGCATAGAAACACTTCTAAATATCGGGATCCACTAGGAATGACTCTTAAAGATTTTTAAAATGTGAGTTTATTGGTATACAATGTGTTTTTTAAACATGTTTTTTTAGTTTGGGGAAATTATTAATCTTAGTAGTTAAATTCACCAGTCTTTAATTATTTATAATTTCATGGGCATGTTTTTCATATTTTTCAAATATCTCCATATTTTAAATAGTTCTTCACTGCACTGTTGCCAAGAAATGAAAACAGCAAATAAATCCATATCTACTATTCTGCATAATGCAGCTAAAAATGATGGTCCAAATTTGGCTCAAGGGGTTGCAAAACACCAATGTTCTGAGCTTCTGATAAGTTTCTGGGTGGAATTCCTGGTTCTGGGAACCTATTAGCTAAGAGACAGCTTCTCTCCCTTTGCTATACTTGTATTTAGTTATTCCGATTTAAGTGCAAGGATGCACCTGTCCAAAGCTCTTAAACTCTTCCCAATTTATGGTCACAATCCATGCAGGACAATATACCCAGCAATGTAACAGAGCCGGAACTCAAGAAAAATTATATCAACTTAACCAGCCCTCAAGTCAATATATATAAAATATACCCCAGAAAAATATACCCCAGTCGTTCCACAAGGCTCCTGCAAATAGCCATTGCCGTGTGCCTGGAAGGTCAATAGATTTGGGCCATTTTAGATTAAAGTTGGGGACACAAGGAGCCCGTGTAAAGAACATCTTGCCAACCGTTCCCTCTCGGCTATACCCAGAGGCGTCCAGTTTAAAAATCTCCACTGACAGCAGCCGTGGCATTAACACACACACACAGAGAGTCTCTGAGGTGCAGAACCCAGGCCATTTAAGGACATAGGTACTGCCATACTAGACCATGGCAGAATTCATCTAATCCAATGTGGCAATACCAGTGGCTATACCAGATGCTTCAGAGGAAGATGCAAGAAAACCTTAAGTGGTAATTATGGAATATCCTGCCCATAGGTGAAAAGCGGTGCCTAGAGTTTTGGCTAGGTGCCAGAGAAATCAAAACCAATCAGTCAATCAGCTAAACCTCATTTCCAAGTCGCTGCTGACATAATAAATGATTCCAGCACAAACACACTGGGAAGTAAACCAAAAAAGCCATGGTAACACAAATCCTTGTTAAAATCAGAGTGGGAAATCAGTATTTTGTTAAATACAAAGGGACAAAATTGGGAGGGAAAGGTTTTAAAAAAATATTTTCAAGTATCTGCTTGACACTACTTTAATAGTAGTAGGTAATAAACTTGGCAGTGTGATTTTAATACTGTCTTTTTAAGTCTTATGATTTTTTGGTGTGAAATATTGATTTTAAACAAATGTAGGAAATACAGTAAAAAAATAGAACAATGTCCAATTTATGAGGTGAGAGTTAAATAGAGACCCCTTGTGAACGCAGCAAAAATGAGACACTCTCTCGAGTTTCAGATGCTGAATAAAAGTGTTATTTAATGGAAGGTGGATATTCTATTGCAATTAATCGCAGTAAGTGCTGCCAAAGCACAACGAATTTCAACAGATCTGAAGATAGCTTGACTGGACTAAACGAGAAGTGAAAAGAAAACCCATCCTGGAGCTGACTGTTCAAACAAAGACTGTTTAAAGATAAAGACGTGCTTAGACAGGCAGGCATGGCAAACTGAGCCTTTCCAATAATGGATATGACATGTCATTAAGCAATGTCTTTAGGTGATCTGATCTACACACAAGAGTATTAACACTCTGGATAGGTTACAAATAGGGAAAATAAGACCTTTGACAATATTGATAAAGTGAAGCCCAATAGATAATGGCTGGGGTCCAGCCAGCCATAACTGGCTTTAACATTAAAATGCTTATTTTAAAAACTATCCAACCCCACATGCTCTTTATCAGAATAAGTAACTAATTCCAGTTTAGAGGCCATATAGGTGGACATGTGTTTTGCTTTATAAATACATAACTTAATATAATTATCTATAAGGGAATACTGTGCAAAGGATAACTGGCATTAAAAAAATGACTCCTCCTACCAAAACACAGGAGGAGATGTTAACAAACATAGCTTGAATTGGAGGGAATTGTATTTTGGTTGGTAAAATCCAAACACCTGCTCTGTCTTGATCAAGTATGTTCCATTGGAAATAGCCTCTTTCCAATAGCATTGAGCATTCACATTTAGCCATGGCTGTACAGACAAACGGGCCCGCAATTTGTGATGGCCATTTGACAATGCAGCCTTATCGCACTACAGTAGCATGGATTTAGTTTATTCCACCTTTAAGAGAAGAACAGAATCTTAACACAGAGAAGTTGTGGTGAGCTATCCCCCAGTATCAAGCCAATATGTCTCAAGCCTGGGTCACCTTTCTGGATGAGAAAATGGTTTATTCTCCAGGTCCAATCACTCACTGACCTCTCTCTGCTAAGGTTGCCAGCAATGGAGGGCCAACTTTGGTAGGTAGTGTAATGTTCTTATTCCTTTGTGAGTCTCAATACATTTCAGTGGGGCAAAATAGGAACATAAGAATTGCCACATAGGATGGAGCCAATGGTCCTTCAAGTTCAATGTCTTGTCTCTGACCAAAGCCAATATCAAATGCTTCACAGGAAGGTATGCAGCATTGTAATAAACAATATTTCAGTAACCATAAGCAGAGAAATAATTATAAAATGCCTTCTGAGGGGGTTCCTTCCTAATCCGAAAAAGTGAATGGTTGGTTTGTGTGCTGGGTCAGGAAGGCTTCTGCTCTTTTATACATTTAGCATCAAGTTTACATGGTACTAAGCTTACAATAGAGTAGTTCAGTGACATTGAGTGTGGATTTCTACATGTGAAGAGTTCAGCAATAGGTTGCTATGTTTTGCCTCTTGAGCATGTCTGGCCACAGGCAGTTTCGCATTTGCTGTCTTGTGAATAGGTAAGAGGTAGAAACAAACGCATTGGAGTGGTTTGACCTGTTTGGTGTGGTGCATCACAAAGAGGCTGAACTAAAAATGCATGCTAAGGAGCTGCTATATTTGAACAACAGACTCCTTAATCACTACTGTTTCTTGTTCAACAGCCCAGTTGCATCAGTGAGTTGGGTCCTCCAGGTCGCAGCTCTTTGGATAGCGTGGAGATGGCCTATGCCCGACAAGTGAGTATGCTGAAAGGGGATAACAAATCATTGCCAATGTGTCTTAGCCATGACAGACATGGGAGAACAAAATGGGAGAAGCCCTTAGTGAGTGAAAAGAGGTACATCAGGACAGGGATGACAGCACCTGGCTGGGATTAAAATGCAGTCAAGAAAAGACAAGAAACTTAGCCTGACTTTTTCCTCAGAAATGTGTTTCTCTGTCTAGTGCACAATTCTGCATCTAAAGGTGATGCTGATACCATGTGTAATTATCCAGATCATTCATGGTTATATAGTAAATGGAAACTTTTTTATCCTTTTTATGTGCGACTTTCCAAACTCATTTTAAAATGTAAAAGTATTCAAACCAACACTCTACATTCTTGTAGTTTTTCAGATTTCAAAGGCACCCTTTGTGATTGGGGATGTGGCGGTGGGGAAAGAGATTCAAATATTAATTATGGCAGTTGTCAAGTTATATCCAGTTTTAACTGGTCACTTATGAGGAACTGCAGAACACCAGGGCTGAATTAGAAGGCCGCATTGGAATTGATCTGAAAGATTTCAGGAGAAGATATTCAATCTATTCATAATCATAAGCAATTAATTTCCTTTTTTATTCAAAGACTAAGATTCTGATTACCAGTAATGTTGGAAGAAAAATAAAGACAGATACTTGATTTTCAGAATTGCACACGCAAAACTGTGCGCCCAGTTCCTTGCACTGAATTACCAGGTTTACATGCATAAATCAGGTATTTGTGCAGACAGATGGTTAGTTACACATCTGTTTTTCATTTCTGTATGCACTCATGGTAACTGTGTACAGAATTAGTTACACATTGATCAACTTGTTTTTTAAGATTGGGGCCAAAATACCTCTGTTCACTTAGCATCAGTTCTGATTCTGTTCTATTTGTTGTTAATCCATAATTAATTAGTTGGCTCCCATCTACACTGTAGAACTATGGTGCTAAAGCCCCCATACAATATGGTTCAAGCCATGTTTTTAGGTTACAGGAAGATCATTCCTCATTTTTCTGGAATAGACTTGGTTTACTCTGATAGCCCATGAATATAGGAATACTTCTAAATTCAATAAATAAGAATCAATCCGATCCCCTACTGCAAAAACCGAGGACCTGAATTTTAAAGGTACTAGCACCTTCAGCTGCTATGGATTTCAGTGGAAGTTTAGGGTGCTCAGCACCTCTAAAAATCAGATTATTGTTACAAACTGTCTCCATATGGTGTCAGTAGCTATTTAATAAAACTACAGTGAAGTTCTTTTTAATACGGGATAAAATAATTGTTCCAGGCAGCAGCCCAGAACCATTCACAGGAGCACAGTGAAGTCCAGTTTAATTGACTGCCTGGTAATGGAATAGTTCAGAGGCCTAGCCCACTGCTGTAGTGGTAGAGGAATGCATTACCATCATGAGGGCAGTTCCTTTCATCTCTGCTAGGAACGGGGAGGAGACAATAGTCTATCCAGCTGCTGGAGAGCAGGGGGGAGCCTTTTGTCAGTCTCCAACACTCCCTTCCAGGTAACTGCCTAGAAGGTTTTCAGAGGGAGCTCTAATTAGCCCTTTTACCTGGAAGGGAAGGTTTCTGGGCTGGGAATGAAGGAAAATGTTGCAAAGTAGTAGCTAAAATAAGATCAAGATTTTTAAAAATGGGCATTAGGCTCCTAAATCCTTATTCAGGCACCTGAAAAAGTGGGCTGAAGTCATCTCTGAAAATGGATGTGCCCAAATGAGGGTTTAGGAGCAATTTTTGAAAATCTTCACCTAACTTCTAATACACAAATAACTGAACTGTAATGGAAAATTGATCTGTTCAATGCATACATTTCTCTATACGTCAATTACAGTCCTCAATCCTTAAAAATTCCTCGAAGAGAGGGCAATGTTAGAGCAGCTTGGTCAATGTTCAGTGGAATTCACTCTGCAGGGCAGATAATCTCTTGCAGGACTGGAGGAATTTTAAGGCTCTAGGATGGTTATGAAAGGAATACTTTTTCTCTTGCAACACAGCTTTATTTAACAAGTTTTCTGCTGTAACGGTTGCTCTGGGTCAGGGTTTTATAAACACTGCTACCACTAAGGGACTTAATATTATGGTTTCCAGAATTCTGTTCCTGTCTCTTCAACAGAAATGAGAGTGGTATACAGTGAAATGTCACTCTGGCAGTCATATATCTGCCAGCACTTTTCCCTCCTACGTTGCAATTAGTCTAACATAGCAACCAGTGCAAAGCTCTGCCATGCAGAACAACTGAATAACTGTATCGTTCCTGACATTCAGGCAGCTCTGGGGCTGTGGTAGTTTTGTGGAGGTGCATTTCATGTTGCTGCCCATCCCTCCCTTTCTGTCCTGGATAGAAGGCAGATGATGTGGGAAGAAAACTGGCTAGAGATCCTGAAGGCCATCCAGTCTTGAAGCCTGTTTCAAATTCTGCAGTAGCAGGGTGGAGGAAAGAATCATATGCATTGTGAAAATTGCTCACTTTTGATACATTTCAGATTTATATTTATAATGAGAAGATAGTGAACGGACATCTGCAGCCTAACCTGGTAGACTTTTGTGTTGCTGTTGCTGAACAGGATGATAAGGTAATGCCAATAAGTTAACATAGGGAGATGTACTTAATCTGCTTTCAGCTGTGGTTAGCAGCCTGCTGATAATTACAAAAATGTACTGATATCACAAGAAAAAATTGCATTGCTTTACAGAAAATAACAAGCCAGGAATGCAATCTTCTTTCAGCCGGGCCCATGTGGTAAACTCAGGGACTGAAATTCTATTTCCAGCGAGGTAGAAAAAATTGCCCTGTTTCATTGCATTGTGATCCTTAGAAACAAGTATTTCACTTTAAATGGATCCTGTTGTGTCTTGCTTTAAAAACAGGACCCCCTGATATCCACATGTGCTTTCAAAGTGTTTGTGAATGAAAGGACTAAGCTTCAGATCGGGATTATGGAAAATGTAGGTTGGTCCCCAATAATAATTCTGGCTCATGTTTAAACCCAAGCACCAACTAAATAGCCTCACAGTGGCTTTAAATCAACATTAAATCTCCTTTTCCTATTTCACTCCTTCAGCTGGATTGCTAGGATAGCAGTCTCCTTGAAATATATTGTGCTGTGAACTTGAATTCATCAAGTCTCAGCTTTGTTCCAGATTGTGCCACCTATCTGGGAAACCTCTTCACCTTCTTGCTGGCCCGTGGCCGTCTCTAAAGGTGCTATTGCAAAATAACACGGCTTTTGGACTTGCTGCTGTTTTTGCTTTTCTTCTTTTCCCGCCACAATATTTCATTTTACAGTAACACCTCAGAGTTCCCATAAGCACCAGGGATGCATTGTGCTCGGCACGTTCCCAATGCACAGCTGGACATAGTACCTGAGCCAGAGATCTTCATTGTATAATTTAGCAGTTCTAACCTTTTACTGAATATTGCAGCGCTTTTGTATTCTTTTTCTGTACTTGTGGATTATTTTATTTTCATGTAAGTTATCCTTTTAAAAAAAAATCCTTGAAGAAATTACCAGTTGGATAGACATCTTGCAGGTGATGAAAGAGCCCGATTCTGCTCTCAATTACATTGGTGTAAGTCAGGAATGACTCCATTGCAATGGAAAAGCAGAGTCTCGCTCGGAGAGCTTTCAGGTGAAACAATAACAGGGAGGGGCTTTTATCAAGAAGGGTAAAAAAAGGTGAAAAGACTTTTTTAATGTTGTTATCCATACATCAGTGTCCTTCACACAACTGTTCTCGATGAGGTGGGTGTAAGCTTAATGCAGAAGGGTTGTAAGGAGAGAGATTGAATGCGTATATGACTCACGCTTGGGGGAAGAAAGGAAGTTCTAGATCAGTACAAGTGATAGTGTCTACTGTACTTATAACACTCCCCCGCTTTCCTCCAAAACAAATGCACAGACTATGGAGAGCTGTGGGAAGAGGACAGGGAAATGACTAATACTGGAAAGTAAAGCCAGTTTGGAGGTTGCCAAACCAGGTGTCCAAAATTTCTTGGCCATCTAACAAACCTAAATGACTTTGAATGTACACCTGTAATTGAGATCTAACAGACGCTGAGGGCTTTGAGCAATTCTGTATTCATTTTAACAGAGACAACTCAATGAGTTTCAGTGCTCTTGTCACATTGAAGTATCGTGGATGAAATTCCGACCTCATTGGAGTCGATGGCAAAACTCCCATTGATTTCAGTATGGTCAGGATTTCATCCCATGTGTCTTACTATTTTACCTGTGCGTATTGATAACTTAATCCACACGAGCATGTAGAGCTAGGCCTCAGGGTCTCCGCATTTTTCATAATGTGGACCACATCTGAACAGAGAGAGTCTTGTGGATACATCCCCTCCTGTTTGTGATTCCATAACTTCACAGGGCAACTACAGCAAGTGTTTATCCGGAAACTATGGCTAGGAAAGTATTTGTTTTAGAGTGATATAGTGACTGGAAACAAGGAAGCAGAACCATCACCAAGTCCCCAACCAGCTCTCTGAAAGCCATAGTCAGTCATCTGTGGACCACAGTCAGGCAAAATCTTTGCAGGCAAATGCTCCTTTAAAGGGGGTAGATGCAGAGGAGGTTGGGAACATCATTATCAGCCTAACTCTGGCATGCGTCCTGTCACCTGGACTCATTCTGTCAGGCAGACAGATGGCTTACCCTGATGTGTGCTTCTAATGTCTTTGTTATAAGTCTTGACTAGCTGTAACTTATCCTTTTTTATGTAAACTCTCATACTGCTCAGACTAGGTAACTCTCTAATGGCTGTAATAATCACTGTTGTATGAACGGGTTCGTTTCTAGAATATCTCGGATATGTGGGCCATGGTTAAACTAATGACAGAGGTATTGCTGGTTCCTGCAAGTGATGCGTTGAAAGTCCGGACCAACATGGAGGTGCGCATGGAGTTTGTAAGGCAGGCTCTGCGTTACCTAGAACAAAGGTAAGGCAAACATAATGGAGAAAAGCATCCTTGAGAGTTCCTAAGTAATTACATACAGCAACAACTTTCCTGTGACTCCACTGGTATTCTCTAAATAGATACATGCACACACTGAAGGTTAGTGAATAAGACAGAACAACCTAATTCTGTCTTCAGAAATGCCTGTTCCCCATCATGCTGCTGCTCTGCAGGGCTGAGAGCAGCCACTGGGATAGAGAACGATTCCAGTTTTGAAAAAATTCTTGAGTCCATTGGGAGACTGTTTTGAAGACATAACCACTCTTTATTATTCCTTTCCTGTCACTCTTTATGTACTCGTCACAGTGGCAAACAGGCGCTGGACATAATACAACTAATTGAAATAGATAAATTATCCCCGCCTTAAAAAAAAAGTCTCCCTCTTCTTCATTCCCTTCGGGATGCTAATGACATGGAGATACTAGAAACTAGAGCTGGGTGAAAGTGGTGA